AGAAGATGAAGTGTTTTGGGGCTGATTTGGGGTTATAAGACCCGTATACCCGATCGAGTATGTGCTGGTACTCGGTCGGGTATGGCTGGAAAGTGTGGTTTTTGAGCGGCCTGCCTCCTGTACTCGATCGAGTATTCCTCCATACTCGATCGGGTATATGCTTTTTTTTTCATTTTTGAAGCGTGTACTCGGTCGAGTGTGGGAATCAGTCCCCTTCAATTTTAGCATTTCTAGAGATACCCGACCGGGTGTATAGTGATACCCGATCGGGTATTGCTTATTTTTCAAATTTTGAATGCTCCCTCGATCGAGTAATGCCCGGTCCCTTTTTTCTTTTTGCTTATACCCGACCGAGTATAAGGTTATACTCGATCGGGTATGTCCCCAGATGTTCAAAAACCTGCAAATTTTTTTATTTTTTTATTTTTTTTATTTTTTTTTTCCAAAAACCCATGATTAGTGCCCTCCCTCACTGATCTCTCAAATAATTAAACAAAAAAAAAATGAATTCTAAATAAATAAAAAGAAAAATGAATTATACAAAAAAAATAAGCTTGGGTTGCCTCCCAAGTAGCGCCTTAGTTAACGTCGGGGCACGACGTTATTCATTTTTTTTTTGGTTTTTTGTTTTATGTGGGATCATGAGTATCCCTTGTTTCACTTTTTAAGGCCCTATTTGGCCATTTTTCATTTTTATTTTTCGGCCTTTTCCAGTAAGGCCGGGGTTTCTTTCTCAAAAGACATCTGGTTTTATCCGCTTCTTTGAAAAACAGCGGTTCTTGTGGTTCAACAACATGTAAAGAACACAGAGTTGGATTTTGTATTTGTTTTTTCGTAGAGTCCAAGATGTTGAACTCCACTTTTTGATCATCGAACTCTAAAGTTAGTGAACCACTAGAAACGTCAATTTTCGTTTTTGCGGTCTTCATGAAGGGTCTACCCAAAAGGATGGGTGTTGTTTGGTCATTAGTTCCCATTTCAAGGACATAGAAGTCAACAGGAAAGACCATATTTTCTACTTCTATTAGCACATCTTCTACTACACCCTTCGGGTAAGTACTAGAATGATCTGCCAATTGAATCACTACACCTGTTTGATGTAATGGGCCAAGTTGTAGAGTTTTATAAACAGAATAGGGGATGACATTTATTGATGCCCCTAAATCTAACAAGGCCTTAGGAAATGTGGTGTCTCCTATTTTGCAAGGGATAGTGAACATGCCTGGGTCGTTACATTTTTCGGGGAGTTTCCTCTGAAAAATGGCCGAGACGTGTTCACTAACTCTAACATCTTGTTTCCCTTTCAATTTATCTTTTCTTTTTGTTTTGCATAATTCTTTTAAGAATTTAGCAAAACGGGGGACATTTTTCATGAGGTTAAGAAGCGGAATGTTTACCTCACACTTTGCGAAGGTTTCATAGATGTCGGCGTCTTTTTCTAGCTTCTTTGTCTCTTTCAGCGCCTCAGGGAACGGGATTTCTTGTTCATATGATGAGGGTGGGGGAAGCTTGGTTCTTGTGTTTTCCTCCTCCGGTGGGACTATTTTTTCGGGGTCCACACCCTCAGTCTCTTCATCGTTCTCTTCTGCCTCTTTCAACGTTGCACCACTTCTCAACGTTATAGCATTCACATGTTGTCTCGGATTTTGCTCCGTTTGAGATGGGAGTTTACTCGAGTCTTTTGTTTCAAGTCGGTTCACGGCATTTGCAATTTGACTGACTTGGTTTTCCAAATTCTGAATGCTGGATTTGGTCTCATGCTGAAATTGAACCATGTTTTGTTGCATGGTTGAGACATTTGAGGTGAGAGCTCGGATCATGTCCTCGGTGGACATACTTGAGCTTGACGTCTGGCCTTGGTGCTTTGGGAAAGTTGGTGGCAATGACTGATTTTGAGGATTCCCATACCTCAAATTCGGGTGATCTCTCCACCCAGGATTGTAGGAGTTAGAGTGTGGATCATACCTCTTTTGACCTTGAAATCCCAAAGCATTGACTTGCTCGGAATTCTCCTCTTGTAGTGTTGGGCAGGAATCGGTGGGGTGTCCCTGTGTCGAGCATATGCCGCAGACCTTGACTTCTTGGTGTTTTGGATTTAAAAGGAAATCCTTTACCAAAGAAGTCAAGCCGGCCACTTGACTTTCCAACGAGATGTTGGATTCCGCTGCCATGACCCGTTTTGATGATGACCTCCCATTGTAGTGCCTAGAATTCTCGGCCAACTCAGAGATGAGGTTCCTAGCTTGGGAAGGGGTTTTGTTGACAATTCCCCCTCCAGATGCTGCGTTCACCAGGCGTCTATCTTGCTCCGCAAGACCGTCATAGAAGTAGAGGATGAGGTCTTGCTCTGTATAACCGTGATATGGACAGCTAGCGCACAACTTTTTGAAACGCTCCCAATACTCATATGATGTCTCATCATCTTTTTGTTCGATGTTGCTTATTTGTTTTTTCAAGGATGATGAGACAGATGCAGGGTAGTACCATTCGAGGAAGCATTTTTTCATTGACGCCCATGTATCTATACTCCCTGACGGGAGATAGAATAGCCAATCCTTCGCCGTGTCTTTGAGGGAGAATGGAAAAGCCCTCAATTTGATTTGTTCCTCGGTGACTCCATTGGGGCACATGCTTGTGCAGACAATATGGAATTCTGAGAGATGTTTGTTGGGGTCCTTCCCCCTTAGGCCATGAAAGGATGGCAGTAGATGTATGAGCCCAGATTTTAGCTCAAATGTATTACCTTCATCGAGTGTAGGGAAGGTAATACATAACGGTTGTTGATTGAGATTTGGAGCAGTGAGCTCCCGTAGTGTTCTTGTCTCAAGAGCCATGGTTATTGACTCTTCGGTCTCGCTAGAATGAGAACTAGCGCTGGATGAATCTCTGATAGATGATTCCTCCGAGTCGGTATTAGAAAATTTACTTTTCAACCGCTCGAAAGTTTGTTCTATTTCTGGGTTTGTTTGATATATGAATTTGTTTATGGAGCGATGTTTAACCATAAACTCCACTAAGCTCAGAAATAGAAGAAATAAGAACTCTTTATATATATTTTTTTTTCTTATTTTTTTTTATTTTTATTGGATAAAATAAAAAGAAAAATAATTGCCTTTCCCCGGCAACGGCGCCAAATTTGACGTGCACTCGTCGTTAGGTGCACTCAAAATAAATAATCAATACAACACTAATACGTAGTATAGTGTAGTAAGGTTCGTATCCACAGGGAAAGAAATACTTTTTCTTTTATATAAATAATAACAAGGGGGGTTTAGATTTGTTTGGTTTAATAACACTAAGATAAACGACCTATATGAGTTTAATTCAATGAGATGGGGACTTGGTTTTGCTTTTATCCACTTAATGAAATGTTCGTCGATCCCGGTTATATCTTTAACTATCTTCCTCTCGAATACTCAATCGAGGAGTATATCCAGTTCATCGAGGGTAGTTATTAATAACGAGATGCGTTCATTAATAAAACTTACTATCGAGTCAATATAGAACAAGCGCCGTATATTAACTTGATAGTAGCAATAAACTTAAGATGAAAACGATTGAGATTGATAACCTCAACACAAGCGGTTTATTGGTTTAATCAATATAATTAATTCCCCTTGGCATATCAACCATGAGATGCATGCATTAATATTCCAAGTTTACTACCGTTGAAAGAACCGGATTAATAACAAGCGTATTAACCGATTGATTCTAGTAATAATTAATATGAGAAACAATACTAGTTGATACTTTAAGTAATGTTTAAGATATTAACATGAAATATGAATAGGAATTAATCAATACTCAAGGAAGAATATTAAAATATATGAATCCTACTATGATTAATATCAAGATGTTAACTAATTGTCATCTTAGTAACACTCCCCAATATTATCATAGAGGAAGAAATAGCTATTACTATAACCAATGTCAAGATGTTAACTAATTGTCATCTTAGTAACACTCCCCAACTTTGATATAGAGATAGTATTTTGAAAGAAAGAATTAATATTCAAGGAAGAAGATTAAAGAAAATAACTCACAACTTACAAATTCATTAAGCTTCAAAGTAGCAAAACCAAGATGGAAGAGTTTAGCTCCTCATTTGGAGACTAAACATGATGAAAAATATAAAGAAAGAGCTATTCTATACTGAGCTTAGATGTACAAAGGAATTGGATATCTTTTTGTGAAGGAAAGGAGGTGTATTTATAGGTTTTTGGGATGAGATTCGGGTACTCGATCGGGTATATACATGGTACCCTATCGAGTATGTGTGTAACATCCGATCCGAGGCATACTCGACCGGTTTCAGGCTATTTTCTAAGTGTATACCCGATCGAGTATATATGAATACCCGGTCGAGTATGCTTAGAAAGTTATATTCGGGCTATACTTCGACCGATCTTCGTTTGCAATTTAAAGGCATACCCGATCGAGTATAGCTAATACTCGGTCGAGTATGCTTAGAAAGTGGTATTCGGGCTATACTCGACCGATCTTCGTTTGCAATTTAAAGGCATACCCGATCGGGTATGTCGGTCTACCCGATCGGGTATAGACATAGAATCGTGGCCAAAATCTTCCCTGCATGTTCCTTTGTCTTCGGATCTGATCCGATTTGAAGTTCCAACCTAATACCCGATCGAGTATAGCTAATACTCGACCGAGTATAGACCAAAATTCAGGATCTTCTTTTGTCTTTGAACTTTTGCACCTTCTCTTCACTTTTTGGGTTCACCAACTGTACTTTGGGTGACCAAAACCTGCTTAAGCTCAGAATATGTCTAATCTAACCTATTTACAAGAATTTAACAATCTAATCTATTACACCAAAAGTGTGTAATTTCCAAAGTAAAAGTCAAGCAAAACTAATTAAAAATATAAACATAGAAATGGAAATTACGAACGTATCAGCAACATTTGTCATCTCTTTCCTTTTATATGAAAAAACCACAATTCAAGTTTTTTTTGAAAGATCACAATGAAAGGTAATAACGAGTATTAAAAAAGTGAGTCAGATTTCACACCTTTTGTGATTTTGTCCTCAATTGTCTTCTTGAAAGCCAATGCCTGCCTCCAATCTGGTGCAATCTATACAAAAACACACTAAATTTTGGTAAATGAATTTCATAAACCAATTTCAGAAACTTGAAAAAAAAAAGATTATCAACATGTCTATCGTATCAGTGTACCAAAATACTACATAGTAGAACATAACTTAAGCAGTAGATATATTTCCAAGCTAAAAACACAAAAAGAACCAAACCTCCAAGCAACTATCCACAAGCTGTCTGCTTCTTGAGTAGTCCCCACTTCTGTAGTACCCGACAGACAGAAGATATAGTTTTTCCCTCATTTGAAGAGGATTGCTGCTTCCACTCACAGATGCTGCAACAAATCACAACCTTCATAAGGTCATATAAATGCTAAAAGAAATTTAAATGAAAAGACATTTATAGCCTCACCATCCACCACTGAAACCAAATACTACAACTTAATAGCTTTAAATACCCCCAGACCCTCCTCCAAAAAAATGTATATAAAAAATAGTTCAACACAAGAAGGAAAATGATAATGATGGAAGATACAATTACTCCAAAAATATTTCGCATAGTGAAAAAATACTCCCTCCTTCTCACATACATTGGCAACTTTCCTTTATTTGACTGCTCAAAACATTTGCCCCTATCCTTCTAAACTATCATATTTGTGGTTAATGATATTTCTATCTTATCTTGACAAATCATAATCCCACAGTTTTTACTTTGTTGTTCGATGTGTCGGTCAAACTTGACCATGTTTTGCAGGGAGGAGGGAATATGAAACAATTATTTTGCATGAAACTTCTTAAAATGTACATACCTAACGAGCAATGCAAAATGAACTTACATGCACCCCTACACTTTGCATGCGACTTCACATGTAAAACCTTAGTGAAAAACTACCAAAGAGGCAAACACCCATTCTGAGATTAAAAAACATGTTCTGGAAGAAAAGAATGTTGGTGTGGGGGATAAAACCTCATTTTCATGCTTACCTTCAAGCATTGCTATACCACGCTGAACATCTTCTGGCCGTTTTGAATGAACAAGAGACCAGGACAAACGCATAATACATTCATTTTTGAGTTCTTCAGAAGACCTTTATCAGCCTCAGCAACCTCACGTTCACAACCCTGGCAATAATAATGAAGTTTTGTATTGGTAAAATTAAAACAATGCTCTCTGACATTACCTAAATGGCTAGATCTACATGACCCAAAATAATAATCTTAAACCCCAGATTTGTTAGGTAACCAGAAAAAGATTAAGGCTAACACAAGATCAAAGTGTAAAGTATTTCACCCCTCCCTTCTGTTTATTCTCTTCCATCCACTACAATAGCCAACTCAGAAAAAGAACCGAGTGAGGACAAAGTGAATAAATCAATTGGGCAATTTTCTGTTTTATGATTCCTTGTTGCAATTTTTTTGTTTTAAAGAAAGAATAATGAAGACAGACAGTTTTTTATTCACAAGCAAAGGACAACCAAGGTGCTAATTAACATACTGGAATCGCAACATTCATTACCTATTTGCAATATAAAATCAGTATATATCAACCTGAGAGAGAAGACGCAGTAAGGCGGGCGTGCGTAGTGCGGCGACGGAGTACGGTAACACGCGGAGTAATGCGACGGACTCAATCGATCGAACTGTTGAAGGGTGCCATGGACTAAATCGATCGAACTGGGGCGACGGTGTATGTGCTCTAGCTCTGGACGAAGAATCGGCCGGTTGAGAAGGATAGTAGCGACGAGTACGGCAGCGATAGGAAGAAAGTCGATGGAAATCTATAGGAGGAGCTAGGGTTAGTTTGTGCGGCTACTGGGGAAGGATAAATAGGTTGGCTAAGTGTAATGAAAAAACAAAGTGTTAAATTAGCTAAGTTAAAAAAATTTGAAACGCACATGCACCCGGCCCATTAAGTGTCACTATTGGACACTCATGTTTTTTTGTTAGAAATTAGTAACACTTTTAGCTATGTCATTGGTAGTATTCTATCAGAAAATTGTCACTACTAAAGTGTCACTGTAAGCCAGTTTTTTACTAGTGATAGAATCTCAAACACTCGAGGAGAATGACATTGCAAGTTTGGTAGATGACTTTGCATCTAAATATGCTCGAAGAATGTCTCTTTTTAAATAAACTGTAAGTTATTAATGACTATTTTTATTTTTATCATTACGTTTATTAGTAACTAGTATTTTAAGACAATTTACTTGTGTTGCAACTTGAAAAAAGGCCCAAATTTTATTGTTGCACAGGGTCTCCATTTTCTCGGGACCGGCCCTGACAATCATATTGAGTAAATAATTTTTTATATAAAGTTCGAGGTATATATATTACATATGCAAGTTGGGGATATTTATTTATATTATTAAGTGAATTGCACCATGGATCTATTTGTATATGAACAAAAAGGAAAAAATAAGAACTCTATCAGTCCATGACCTTAAATACAGATAAGTTATTAATCCGGGACCTGAAAGATGAAATGTGTCGGTATAGGGTCTGAATGGTTAAAAACTATATATCAATGTAGAACCTAAGTTGTCATGAATTTTAATATTTTTTATTTTAAAAAATTTAAAATATTATTCAATTGTATTAAACTAATAAACTTTTTTGAAGAAAAATTAATCAAATATTTGTAATGCAATTAATAAAAATTAATTAATTCAAATTGATAGCTTATATGGTATATATGTAGTATATCTTTGAGATCTTGGATTAATAAAATTCCGTTATATAAAGATCATAAAATATTTTGTTATGTTTCATTTGAGATAGTAGATTTGATTTGTGAAAAAATATTCTATTTCACATCTGTGATACTCCCATGGAAAACTTCACATGCCCTAAACTCATTCCAGCCAAAGATGTTAGCATCTAACTAAAACATATATTATAATAGATTAGAAAGGATAAAAGATAAATACAATCCTTTATTTCATTGCATTATTTATCACATTCATTTTAGTGTTTTACTTTTACATATTATATACAAAGTCTGTTCCTGTCCAACCGGCCGAAAGGAACCGCCATCCAGCCGAGGACATTTCGGGACCTTCCCGGTGGAATTGTTTGATGAAATGTTTTGAGCATGTTCTACATGAAGTCTAGTTTATCAATTCTAAATATCAGCTAAATATTCAATCGCAAAGAACTGTATATATTTTCTGAAAAGTATTGCGCTGAACTATATATATAAAGCGCATTTATCTTCAAACAATTATTTGAATGTCTTTCCGATTGAATTTTTAGTTGCAATTTGGTATGTGTAAACTAGACGTGATGAAGAACATGGTTAAAAACTTTCAACAAAAAATTCCACCTGAAAGGTTTCGATATGCCCTCGTCCGGTTGACGGTTCCCGTCAAATTGGCTGGACATGAATTGTCCTCATTAGATACATATTCAAAGTGAGGGTTTGGCTCTGGATCTCAATCCATCCACTTTTAAATTCATACTTCCTCCGTTCCCTATTAGTAAAAAAATTAAAAAATTCATATTTTGAAAATTTAGAACGAGAAGAATTTAACTATATTTTTTAAAAATTTAATTTATAATACATTAATTAATAAAATATACTCAAAGTAGAATATGTGAATAGTGCAAAAAGTCCAATGTTACGATTAAAATAGAACGGAGGTAGTATTTTTTAGCCACATCAATGTATTATCTTTAATAGTCCGGTATTGTTTCTATTATTGGGTCATATATCTTTCCTATATAATTTGGTCATACCTCAAGTTTTATGGTATATATGACTCCTACATATTCTTTGTTTTATTAACATTATTGGGTCATATATCTTTAATAGGATAATCTTCATTGATAATTAAATGTTAGTACGAGTTTATATTGTCAAGTTTTATAAATTTAATAACTCCTTACTTTATACAATTTCTGCCAAAACAACACTTATTGTGAGCATGAAGGAGTACTTGAAAATTAAAACCAAGCATTTTCATCATTAGTCATAAAATTAGTGTTGATAGTTAGACTACAAGGGCAACCCCACTTAATTGACTTATACTGAGAGACTCGCAGTAAACCAAACTTAATAAGCATACACGGTATATCTATTTTAAAGTAAGGTTTGGGGAGGATGAGATTATATAGACCTTAATAGTTTTTTAATATGTTGAGTTGATCCACACTAATGTTGAAATATTTTCATATGTAATCATCATTTTCGTTAACTTTTTTTAACATTAGTCAACTTCACATAGAAAAAAATAGGGTTTAGCAAGATGCAACGCCACCCATGACGCAGTGTAAGTAATAATGAATTAAATAATAATGGGCTAATTGTCAAAAATAAAAGAAATAAAAAAAATTGATTTTTTATTTTATAAATATTTTATTAATTTTTTATTATTTTTCTACGATTTTTATTATTTTTTACGAATTTATATGAATTAAAACATTTAATTATGATTTTGGATTACCTTTTACTCATATTTAAAGGAGGTGTAAGAATGGAATGAAAAAATAGGTATGCTTCCAATAGGATTAATATGGTCCTATTTTGAAATAAAAACATAATATGACCTATTTTGGGTTTTTGATATAGTTTTAATCCTATTTGGAATAATTTCTGAATAATAATGATACTTTTGACTTATGGCTGGGACTCGTTAGATGGATCATGGACAATCGGGTTCTCTTTAAGCAATTTCAGGATGGAGACTCTTATATTAAAAATTGATCTGATTAATAAATTAACTACTTATTTTTATGGGAAATTTATGTAAATAAGACTAAATAAATCCTTAATTGTCAAAATAGGATTAATCTTTAAAAATTCCCTAAATGTGAGTTAATAATTTTTCAATCTAATATTCAAAAGCCAATTGAATTGAACTAATTAATTTTCCGGACCAATTACCAAAAGCCAAAGGGAGAACTCCCTAAATAGTAGTAAACAAGCTAAGTTTTGAAATTCCAAAACAGGATTATCATGTTTTTTTTTCTTGAATAGAAGTAAATTTCTGTCAAGTTTGACATTATCAGGCTTTAAAACATGAAATTTTTTCCCAACTTGGCAGGTTACTTCTATTCAAGAAATAAAAAACATGTACTCATATTTTGGAATTTCAAAACGTTTTTGCAACTATTTAGAGCAATTTCTAAAAGCCAAACAATTGAGAGTATAAAAAATTTAACTCATGTATTTAAAAATTATGGATTTTGCTCCTCTCCATTAACGGGAAATGTCCAGTGGGAGAGAGATAGAGAGAAGTGGGGAAATGATGGGGTAGGGAAAAAGAAAAGATTATGTTTAATTATTATTTTTAAGGAGAGAGATAGAGTGAAAAAGAAATGGAGAGAGTAAATGGAGAGAAGGAAATGAGGAGGAGTATGACCCAAAAATTATAACTACAGTATCCCTTATGGAGTCCAACTTGACTGCTTTTGTTACATGGTTAGTATACTTCCATCGGACCAACTTGACTGATGTTCATAATTCGGCATTATCTATTATTATATCACAACGAATGAAACACTATATTAATATATACATAATATATATATATATACAAATAATTATATTTTTTTGAGCACGGGTCTGGGTCCACCCTGGCCCTGGGCCAGATCCGCCCCTGGTTGCAGGGCTTGGCACCATCGCCACCACACCGGATTCAGACGGGAAAATTTTGAAGAAATAGAGAGCGAGGAAGAGGCAGATCTGTCGCTTACTGCCGCTGCTCTCCGGTGTGGCTGCTGCTACTCATCGGCGTTATTTGCAGTTGCTCGCCACCACTTCGAGGTTGAAGCCCATCTCGCTGCTAAGCACATAGATGCGGTATGTTTATGAGCGTGCAAGGGAGGTTATAAGCAGCCGATGGTTGAAATGATTAGAGGGTAAAATTGGGAGAATGGTTCTATTTAGGGAACAAAATTATACTTACTCCTATTTAGGAATTTCAACGATAATTTAGTCCTATTTGGTAATTCCCCCTATTTATTATTGTGGACTCCTATTGTAATTCTCACTCTTATTATCTATAAATATATCTGTCAGGGCTATCATTATGGTTAAGCCTGATAATTATTCTCACATGGTATCAAGCACGTTCGTGATCCCATCACGTTCA